TAGTGTGCGAATGCCCCTGTTGCACTTATTACCATGGACGCGTGTCTGCCCACTCAGGCACATAAAATTGCTACTAATACCTTTTACCCACCAACTCTGATGACGACTATGGCTCGCTACAAATTGGCTAATGCAATGTACTAACATCGCAAAGTGGATTGCTGGCACACCTTATGCCACATATTGCAGCAAAATAGTGAAAATAGTGCAACATCGCTTAATTGTAAATCTATGTACATATATGTTCCACCAACGGACACAGCCATGTATGTACCAGTATGTATGTATGTATGTACGTACTTGCATACTTTTCCGATCAAACCTTTTTGACTTCAGGCCGCTTTGTGCTAGTTTTTAGGGAAAAAGACAAACGGCTATTCTTAGACCAGCGAATGAGCAAGAATAGCACAGTTTGCCAATTCCGTTTCGAAACTTGCCCAAATTTCCCATTGCAAAAGCGGAGAGAAAATTAATTCGGCAAGTAATAGGTGTGGCTGTTGCACGAATAACGCGCCAGTCCGACTCTTTCCGCTTGCAACAATTTTCAATTTCCTTTCCAAGCGCTAGCAAACCATAAACGAACATACGCCAACCCTTACAAATATTAGTATTTATATACTACCTACGGATCTTTGAGTGGTACAATAGAAAAATGGCTCACTGAATAGAAAATAAAAGTATTTTTCTACCTTTATATTTATGCATTAGAGTCCAGCGCAAGTGTATTTGCCGCATTTCGTTCAATAAGTGCTCCTTGCATTGTACTCTACTCCCAACACATTGTTACTCTTTTTCCGCATACATACACTACTTGGCGTTGAGAGAGTAAATACTTGACGTACTTGCTATTACTCCACCAAAGTACGTACTCTACTTTCCCTCATCGCGTACGAGAGATATTTGCTGCTGCCAAAAGGGAGTAGCAAATCTACTCTCTGTATACTTGTAGTACGGTAAGTACTTGCGTATTAAATTTCAATTCTGGTTGTTAGCCTACTAGTTGATATCGTTTGCAGCGCTGGTCAGTGAAATTGAAAGAGTAGAAATAGAATATGGAAATTGACGATGTAAGGAAATGTTTACGGCCTTATTTATAAAAAATAACGTAGATTTAGACAGTTGTTTAATGTGACATTTTCATAAAACTTTTGTATTCAAGCAGCTTTTTAAATCTATGTATGTACTTAAATTTTTATGAAAGTATTATTTCTCGTCTCTAATTTTCTATAAAACTATTTGCAGTCATTAACCAACAAATAAGTTGTCAAAAACAATAACTTAAGCAATGCTGCTATACGAAATAAAATTATTAGTGGCAAATCAAAATTTTGAAAAGTGCCGATTTTCACATTCGATAGTTGGACATG